CAAAAAAGTAATTAATTTTAATGAAATCATATGATAGAGTCTGGTCCCATAGGATTAGTGTCCTTAAAGATTCATTCATTCATTCATTTGAAAGAAAAAAAAAGCCAGAGAGATAGAAAGAAAGAGACTGTCATCTGTTCACTCCCCAGATCCCAAATGGCTGCAACAGCCAGGAATGGGCCATTCTGAAGCCAGGAGCCGGGAACTGCATGTGGGTCACCTTCATAGGTGGCAGGGGCCCAAGTGCTTGAGCCTTCTTCCACTGCTTTCCCAGGTGTATTCACAGGAAGTGGAGTAGCTAGCTCTTGACACAGGTTGCCAGCGTTGCAAGTGGTGGCTTAGCCCTCTATGCCACAACACCAGCCCCGTGATTAATGTCCTTAGAAAGAGAGATACCAAGAAACCCTATGACTCTCTCTCTGCCATGAGAAACAGCAAAAACACATTCCTGTGCAAGCCAGGAAGAGAGAGCCCTGGTGTGAAACTTTGAGATTGGAGTTCACAGCCTCCTAAATTGAGAAAATAAATTTTTGTTGTCTGGTCCATTCGATGTGTGACATTTTGTTATAGCAACCTAAGCACGCTAAGTGTTAATAATGTAATAAGATGGGTTTTTAAAATATAGCAGTTGAACTGATACATCCAGAAGAGTACTTATTTTATAGGCTGTATATTGCATGAGTGTTGGTGTAGTTCAGTGTTACATGGCATTTTCTGCATTTTCCTTTGGAGACAACTGATGAGCTGTACAGCATAAGCTGTGTAACTTTATAGTGAAAATCTTGTTCTTTAATGAAAAAGGCTTTTCAACTTACCACACATGCTATTCAGTAAATTAGGCAGCCATTATCAGTGGTTGTATTAAAAGCTCAGATCTCTATTGAAGGATAGAGACTTGCAACTGTAGAGAATATTCAAAAGAGTATTTGTTGAACAAATTGATTTACCATAGGCTTTGAAAGTGCAAACAGCAGAGATGCTCTGGATTCAGAGAACACACAGATGGGTGATGAAAATCACTGCTAGCAATCTCTGTGAGCTCAGGGAGAACTGGAGATGAGCCAAGACACTGGAACTGAGTAAATATTGCCCAGGATCTTTTTAAAGTGAAAAATGCAAAAATAGGAAATTAGTAGTTTAATAGACTCAGTAGTTTTGACCCCCCAGTAGAGTTTGGTAAGCAAAGAATTAGGTCTAGGATTTGAGGGGACATCATCAAAAGCATTATTGAAATTTAGATCTACTGAGTCTCTGATGTTGCCTCCGAGAACAAATTAAAAAAGAGCAAAATGAGACCACAGTTAAAAGCTTTTGTAACTTTATGTGTAGTTGAGTGAAAAGTGTTGGCCCAGAAATAGCTAATAATATATTGTTCAGTGAGGAAGCAGATTGTGTAACAGGAGAGTACAATGATATTGCTGTAAATAAGAGATAAACACAAATATATAAAGGAAAATTCCTGAGAGATTTCCCAAACTATTATTAGTAGTTTTATCTAGAAGTTATTTTTCCTATCTGGCTTTCTTTTCTGCATTTATAAATTTTTTGATGTATTTATAGATGTTATTTTTACAACAAATATCGCAAAAGAGAACAGTCAGAAAAGAGTCGTAAGAGAACAGAAATACTGATTAACGTGTTTATCGTACCAGGATGCTGTGAAGGAACGGCATCTGTTTTACTATAATGTGACACTATTGTATGACTATTGCCATGTTCTGTGTACTAGAATTCTCAAAATGGTCTTGTCACCAAAATCAGTAAGGACATGGATAAAAACGTCAGTGCTGGGCTCTGTCATTTGGATATAGTGGACCTAGAGTGGGGTTTGGAAATCCAACCACTTGGAGTTGGTTGAGTTATGGCATAACCATAAAATTTAAAACTGTAGGGGCGGGGCCACCACTGTGGTATAGTAGGCTAAGCCTCTGGCTGGGGCACCTGGATCTCATCTCCTATGGGTGCTGGTTCGTATACTGGCAATTTACACACTCACACACACCAAAATAACAATAGATAATCATTTGGATGATGAGATTATCATTTATATTTTCTTCTCTTTGACTTGTATTTTGTGAATTTTTTATAGTTTTGTGTGTTGCCTTTGTTGTTATTTTAAACCATCATTTGTGTCATCTCCTTTATAGGGGGCCTAATTGCAAAGAGCTGTTGGGGAGTTTCATGATAAAGGGGTGGGCATTTGGTGCAGTATTTAAGATACTGGCTGGGACATCCGCATACTATATCCAAGTGTCGTGTTCAAGTCCAGGTGCCTCTGCTGCTGCTTTTTTTTTTCCTTTATTAAAAAAAAAAAGAGATTGATTTATTTATTTGAAAGTCAGAGTTACACAGAGAGAAGGAGAGGCAGAGAAGAGAGGTCTTTGATCCACTGGTTCACTCCCCGATTGACTGAAACAGCCGGAACTGCACCGATCTGAAGCCAGGAGCTTCTTCTGGGTCTCCCACGCTGTTGCAGGGCCCAAGGACTTGGGCCATCTTCTACTGCTTTCCCAGGCCATTGCAGAGAGCTGGATAGGAAGAGGAGCAGCTGGGACTTGAACCGGCTCCCATATGGGATGCTGGCACTGCAGGCAGTGGCTTTACCTGCTCCACCACAGTGCCAGCCCCGGTGCCTCTGCATCTCATCCAGATTCCTGGTAACATGTACCCTTGGGGGCAGCAGGTGACAGCTCAAGTGTTTGGGTCCCTGACACCCATGTGGGAAACCTGGATTTAGTTCTAGGTGCCTAATTTCAATTTGGCCTAGGCCTGGCTGTTGTTGGCATTTAGAGTGAACCAGTGGATGAAGATCTCTCTATCTCTCTGTCTCTCTGACTTTCAAATAAAATGAAGTTCAGTAAATAAATAAAAATTTAGAAAGTTTCATGAGGGAGATGAATTTTTAATTAATTTTTTGAACCGTGGAAAGAGAGCTTCGTTCTGTTGGTTCATTCTCCAAATGTCTACAATGGCCAGGACTGGGCTGAAACCAAAACCAGGAGTTGAGGGTTCAGTCCACGTCTCCCTCATGGGTGAAAGGAACCCAACTACTGGAGCAATCACCTGCTGCCTCCCAGGGTCTGCATTAGCAGTTGACTGGAATCAGGAGTCGGACAAAGGGGGTTCCTTAACAATGAGGCCAAACACCTGGCCCACGATTAATTTTTATCCAAAGAACCATTGTGTTTTTGTAAAAGAGAGATCCACATAGGAACATTCGTGACAGGAAGGATGAGCCTCTCTACAAACTGGTGAAATAGTTACTGTCCAGGATACACTATAAATTTAATTCAGAGTTATACTTCATTGAACAGTTCCTCCCTCTTTCTTCCTGCAACTTTTTTGGAGTAGATGGTATTCTCTTCTGGCAAGGGGTGGGGCATAGCAGTTACATGTATTAAAATATGAGGATACTTTATAAAGCTCATGAAAAAGGAAATTAAAAAATAAGTTTATTTTGGCATAAAATTTGAAATCTATGCCTAGTTTTATCATGATATATTTTTTCATGGAATATCAAGATACTTCACATGCATATATTTCAAAATTTTCTTCTGCTAAAATAAAGTTTTCTTTTAATTCTATTTTCAACAAACTTTTTGAAGGTCCCTGATATTTATTCTATACCAAGATATAATTTTTCAAGCTCTCTGTCCCCACATCAGAAAGCCCCAGGCTCTATAGGACTGGATCTTCAATTAAAAGTAAGTTCAACAAGTCCATTGGTCATTTCTCAAAATTTATGATTGATAAACTGAGAGTGTGAGATGAAAGGTTTTCATCTTCTGTTGTGCATGAGAATTACGCTAGCAGCTTTTGAAGAAAACAGCTCTTGACTCCACTAACAGTGTTAAATTACCGGGTGTAAGGGGATGGCCCAGTACCTCCAGGTAAAAGCATCTTTACAGATGATTCTGCTCTGCGTATGAATGTTGAGACCCACAATGTTATAGCAGCGAATTCTGTCTGTGGTGTTCTGGAACTGAGCAATGGGAGAAAGCTGTTGAATGGCGCCTGGAAGGATCAGTGGGAAGTGAATGCCAAAGGTGATCTGACAGAAGTAGGGTTCAAAGTGAAGGCCAGGCCCAAGCTGATGGGGGAATCTGTAATGCGTCTGTGTGGTAGGAGTGTAGGTGTCCTTTCAGTAAGACAGGATGCGGAAGGGAACTGGAGCAGGGGCAGGTGGGAACGTGACAGGTTGAATCTAGGGTGGCAAGGACTAGAGCTTGTCGCCGACGAAGAGTGGGTGGGCATTAAAGATTCAAGCGTGAGCTAGAAATGGAAACCTGGTCATAATGCTTGTTGTACAGAGGGAAGAGGCCACAGACAGAGGACACTGCTGGGTAGACTTCAAAAGCCATTTCTCAGGCAGCTGTAACAGCATTCGGCAACTGTGTGTGCTGTCTTATTAGTAATGTCACTTCTAGATTGTTTTGAGCCTTCACTTCCACATTTTTCTCCAAATAATGGGAAGCATTCCCTGGTATGTATATATCCTTAGTAATTTACCAGTTCTATATATAGCTAGCAAATACTAAGAAAAGAATTCTTCTATTGTGATGATAGAATGAGGTTTTACATATATGATCTTTTTTTTGTATTCACAGATATGGTTTTTTGTTTTTTTTTTTTTACTTATCATCAAATAATTACCTTCCACAGAGCACAAACTGAGGAAAAGTCCCGTGAGCTTTGTGAGCACAGTACTGGGAGAATTCGAGGAGCCCAGACCCCGCCTGTGTCCCATTCTGCTCTCCCACTTGACATTTCTGAATGCAGATATGTCTGGCAAGTGTAAATAGGGATGTCACGCCTCCAAGCAGTACCCATTTCCACCTTGCCGTTCCTTCTCATGCATGTGTTCAGGACCGAACATGCTGTTTCCATCTTCTACTGTTTTCACAGTTGGAATTTTTTTGCATAGTGCAACAGTGAGTTCTCTGGTTTTCAAGGTGAAGATTTTTCAAGGTGGATTTTTTTTTGTTCCTTTGTCTGTGCAGAGTTCAGTGCATTTTCAAATATCTTGAAAAGATGCCGGAATCAGAAAAAGGAGTGTTCAGTGTTCAGCCAGCGGACAGAAGAGGCATCTGCAGCACAGTACTTCCAGGTCAGCAAAACGGCCCCTGGTTATACTGTTTCAAGGTGACCCTTGCCTGGGAGCACACGTAGTCGGGTGGAGAGGAGACAGTTGGTATTCTATTGCAGTAGGTCTCAAAGTGAGACCAGCAGTAATAGTATCACTTGGATTTAAGTCTCCATGCTAGGGTGTAGGTGTCCCATGTCACAGACCCAGATACACTCCTGATGCCAGCTTCCTGATAATGTGCACACCAGAAAGCAGCAGGTAATGACTCAAATACTTGGACCCTTGTCACCCTTGGGAGACACCCAGCTCTTGGCTTTATCTGGCTCAGCCCTGGTTGTTGCAGGCCTCAAGGGAGTGAATCGGTGGATGTAAGATTTCACTGTCTGTCTATATCTCTGCCTTATAAATAGATAAATTAATAAAATATTGAATGAATTATGTGTGTACATCCAGTGATTGACATGTTAGAACCTGGGCAAGTTGCTGTATCTTTGTTTCTTCAGTTGAAGAGTGTAATTCGTCTGAGTGTTGTGATGATTTAATTTGATTAGGTGATGTCTGGGAAGCACTTAGCTTGGTGTCTGGCACACAGAAAGCTCTCTTAAATAGTGGCAATTACAGTGATGCTATTTATCACTGTCAGTGTCCATGAGTTTATATGTACCGCATCACCCCACCCAGCTTGATTCTTTATCCATCAGAATTAGCGCCATCACTTACTTCTGGCCAAGTACATCTTCCTCTCGGGGCGAGGCTGAGGGGTTCTTCATGGCAGTTGATATTTTGGGCCTAACCCTTTCCTCTCTCAACTCTTTTTTTTTAAGATTTATTTGTTTATTTGAAAGAGAGAGGAAGGGTAGGAAGGGATACGGAGGAAGGGAGCGAGAAGAGAGAGAGAGAAGAGAGAGAGAAGAGAGACAGAGAGAGAGCTTCCATCAGGTGGCTCACTCTACAGATGGCTGCCACAGCCAAGGCTGGGTCAGGCGAAATCCAGGAGGCAGGAGGCCATCTTCCACTGGTTTTCCCAGGCTGTTAGCAGGGAGCTGGATTGTAACTGGTGCCTATGTTTGATGACATCATCGCAGGTGATGGCTGTGCCACAATGCTAGCCCCAACTCTTTATTCTTCACCTGTTCTGTGTGAGCTTCCACTTTAGGAAGGGACCCTGAGCACCTATCTCAGAACAATCTAGCCCTGTATCTAGAGCAGGTTTCAGAAGTGTGGAATCTACTTGAAATTCTACATCTTATAAAAATGAAGGTACTGCTAATAGTTTGTAGAAAAAAATGAAATTTAAAGCAAGAGTTTATTTTGATGCAAAAGCAACTTTGGAATCCATGCATTTGTATTTCATAGTACACATTCTCCATATATTGTGGAAAAAAATCTGGCGTGACTCTTTGGCACTAATATCAAGTGGGGCTAGTGTCAGCTGGTGAATCACCATGTCTCTCTCAGCCTCTGCTTCCCTGTGTGTCAAAGCATACACCTGCCTTGATCAGGGTGACTGTGAGAACCAGATGTGCATGACGGTGCTGCTTCATGGGCTGTTGATTCCTCCTCTCCCTCTCTTTCCCTTGCAGTTTTATGGCTGCATTTCCCAGCAGCAGAACATGATGCAAGATTTCGTGAGGACAGCCACCTACCACAGAGCCATCCTCCAGAACCACAGTGACTTTAGAGACAAGGTAATGCTGGTAGCAGGTTGCCCATCTCATGTCATGTTAAGGAGACTTGTCAAGAACAGAATCCAAATGAGGCTTTGATCGGATTACCTATTACCTTGCAATTCCACTCCTAGCTGTGTACCCCAAAGAATCAAAAGCAGGCATTTAAACACATACTTGTACACAAATGCAGCATGATTCAAAATGTCCAAAAAGTAGAAACAATCCAGTGCTCACCAACTGATGAATATACAAACAAAATGTGGCATCTTCACACAATGGAATATTATGAACACTGTTCATCAAAAGGAATGAAATGCTGACACATACATCAATGTGGGTAAACCTCGAATACATGCTAAGTCAAAGAAACCTGTCACAAAAGGTCATGGGATTTTATTTATATAAAGATAAATAAAACAGAAGGCATGCCACTGGTTGTCAGAGCTTGACTGGGGCCAGGGATGAAGAGGGAATTAGAAATGGAGCAATGAAAATGTCTTGCAACTAGATAGAGCTAATGGCTGCATAACATAGTAAATGTATTAAGGGATGCTAAATTATACACTTTAAAATGGTTAATTTGATGTTATATGAATTTCATCTCAATAAAAAAATTAAGCTTTGAGTGCCTGGAACTCAAGAGGCTGAATGAACTACATTTTGGTGCATAGAACAGGTTAGGGGCTTTATTGCTATGTAATGAATAGCTCTTCATGAGATACTCAATTTCAATTTTTTCATAGACTCCACATGTGCATGCATTTATTTCCTTCATGAAATGGATCTGAATGATGAATCGCTGCTAATACGTTATACAACTGTTGTCCGTTATTCTTCTACCAGTGAGATAGTCAAAATGTTCAAAATACTGAGCAACTCATATCAGAGGCAATAGTACTGGTCAGGGGAACCAGTGGTTGTAGGGCCTATATTATTTTGTTTTTTTCTCTGTTAACTATGTGATATTAGAGAAAACACTAAACTCTGAGATGCTTGGTCTGTTCCACAGCCGTAATAATGGTAGATCTGTGGTCTACTGAAAAGTGGCCCCCTTGAGAAGTTGGCTTACCTGGGGAGACTTCCTCTTTTGTTTCCATTCTTCTAAGGAGAATGGTAAGAGAAAATTAAAACAAATCTGGTTTTACAGATTTTGATTGGCTTTATTTGCAATTCTAGAGTTGGCCAGAAGTCCAGACCAAAATGCTTCAGAATGTTTGCTTTGTCTCATGGTTACATTTGTAGCCAGAGGGGAAAAAAAAAGTGGCATACAGAAAATGGAAGTGAGGTACAGAGACAGCCCAATTGATTACAGTTCACAGCTGTTTTATGTGAACAGAGTTTGAACAGTTGGCCAGATGTGATTGGCTGAGATCCAGCTACTTGGTAGAAGAGTCTATAGTTCATCCAAGTTAGGTTATAGTTCACTGTATAAAGAGAAAGCTTTAGACCAAACTTAAAATATATACAAATGTAATTTAGCAAGCCCATCAGTAAAGTTTTTATTTTGGTTATTGTATTTTTTCAGTTCCAAAGTTTCCATTTGACACTGTGTCTTATCTATTTCTTGGCTAATACTTCCCATTTTTTTCATTGGTTTCAGCAATGTTGATGACTGCTGATTGGAACTCTTAAAATAATAGCTGCTTTGATTTTTTTTTCTCTAACCTCTGTATCATTGCAGTGTGGCTTCAGGTTATAGTTTCCCAATGAAATTGACATTTTCCTGATTCTTCATATGCTAAGAAATTCTGGATTGTATCCTCTACACTTTGAATATATCATGAGACTCTAGGACTAGTCTAAACCGGTTCTATGGAGAATGTTGATACTCTTGTTGTAGCAGAGAGTCAACATGGTTAGGTTCAGGCCACAAATTCCATTTGATAATTGGCTGTCCATTCCATGTCACTTCAGTTTTCAGTGCCTTGGAAGTACTGTTTGGATCTGTCCTCTGTGTGTGTCACCCACTATTCAGTTTGGCAGCTGGATGGAGTTCTCAAAGTTTTGGTATGCTAATTAATATCAGATCCATGCATGCACAAATCGAGGGTGAGCCCAGGAATTTGTAAAGGCAACTGTAAGGAGTTGCTTTGCCAAGCTCCATCTTTCCCATGAACTTCTTGATCCTTTGTGATTCCCTGGGACCACTTTCCAGGGTGTGGACAAAAACCTTGCTCTGTCACACACTTCCATGACATGTTTATATATTGATCAAGCAGAGAGGGAACACAGGAAATAAAAAGGTTGGGGGTTGGGGGAGGGTGGCAGCTGGCTTTGAGAATGTTAGCGTTATTAAATAGAGGAAGGTTTCCCTCCCTCCTAGCTTGGGCCCCTCCAGGCTGATGCTCCCACTACCTCAAGATTCTTAGAGTCTGGTCTGGAGTGTGGTAGAAGGGAAAGAAAAGAAGGAGAGAAGAGGGAGGAAGAGGAGAGGAAAATAGGACAGAGGAAAAACAGAGTATTCCCACACTCTGAACATTCGGGGTCCCCTCTGCTTCTGTACGACCTGACAAGGGGATGGCCTCAGGAGCCTTCTTGGTCTACATCTTGGTGCCCATTTCTGGTGCAGTGAGTTCAGGCCAGGGTTCACATAAAGGAAAATGGGGGTAAACTCACACCTAGCTCGGTACTGTTTTAAATTCTAGTCTTCTTCCTCTATCTGCCTGCATTGTTTCCTTTTCTGAGTTCTCAGGAAGTTACTGCAAGCATTCTGTCCAGGTAAATTCAGTTATTGGAAGGAATAAGGTGATGTGGACTTCCTCTCACTCAAGACTGGACACATTCTAAAAGTTACATCTAGGTACTCCACTGACCAAGGGTAAAAGATTAGAGACAAGGCAAGACCCGAAATGGCTATAGTTGGTAACAGGGTCTAATTCCTCATAAATTTTGAGGTGCCTAGGAACCTTGCTTTGCCAGTGGGGCATTTGCCTGGTTACATCAATTATGAATTAAACATTCCTAAGGAAGAGGATCTGATTATGAGAGATGGGTAGGATGAGGATGGAGGAGCAAGATTTGTCTCTTTTGTCATCTTCTCTGGTATTTAAGGTTGTGGTAAGCAGTCTTGTTGCCTAAGGTGGTTTTTGTACAATTAAAGCAAAATTAAACCGTGAACTACCATTGATTTTTTTCTTCGTGGTTTGAGGATATTTTTTGGAGTTGAGAGAAACTTCTTTCATTCTATTAGGACTTAGTTTTAATCTGGAACCTAGGATCTATTTTCTATATTTCTGCAATCCATTTTTAATTCTGGTTCCAGCTTCTAAATACAATTTCCCAAACTAATGATCACATCAATCATTTGCATTGTAAAAGCCTTTCACAGATTTCTTACTTGGATATTTGGATTATGTCACTTGGCCATTGCATACATATAAATATGTACACACACACACACATATATATATATATATTCATCTATAACAATGGAGATATTGGACCAGATCATCTTTAAGGCCACTTCTAGCTCTAATGTCATTTGATTCTACAAAACACCCATCTCTTGCCTGCCTAAAACAGGTTTTTCAGCCAATGAAATAAAATAGGCATCCATCTGTTGGGGTTTATGAAGGTGATAATTAATCACATGGTGGATAATTAATTATATCCCTCTCACCCTTTGAGTTCTGAACCAGTTTAGAAATAGACACAGATGTCAGATATAAACAATACTTGCTTCATTATTAATATCGCTGCTTGGAGAAGAAAGCTTATACCTATGGCCCAATAAAACTGCTTCTTTTTTCCTCTCAAGTTGAACTTCTGCACTCAGTTGTGTGGCAAACAGCTGTTCACCCACATAGATCCAGAGCCTGCCCATCAGATTCCCCACACGGGAGACTGAAGGGCACACTTACCAGGCAGGTGAGCCTGCTGACCAAGTCCAAGTGCTGGGGCTGGACATGCTCAGTTCTCTTTTCCAGTGTCATGTCAGATGAGTCATTCCTGTGTGGGGAAAATGAGGAATGGTAAGTGACACTGTCAGTCCTTTGCTGCCCTCTCCTGGGAGGAAATGTCCCCTCCCTGTAAAAACTACAGGAGCAAACTACCTCCTTTTAGTGTCCCAGGAATCTCCTCCGTCCCTGACACACCAGGATGACTGGTCACACTGAAGCCAAATTCCCTTTTTTTTTTTTTTTCTCTTATCAGACTGAGAGCAAGTTTACAACAACCCGTGTGTGTCTCTGGAGGGTGCTATGTTTTCAGTAAACCCTTGTCTTCTCCTTCATTGAAATTGACTCCCTCAGAGGTCATTGATATTGACTACTTAAAAGGGCATGGTTTTAGAATAGTCAATACCAGTGGCTGTTATTTATTGAGGAGCTTAGTTCAGGCAAGCACCATGCTATGGGTTTTCCATGCACTGTTTCCCTTAACCTTCATCAGAACTGTATGCGATAAAGACGACTGTTACTGCCCTTTCACAAGTGAGAAAACTAAAGCCTGGGAACCTAGATAATGTACCCCATTTTGCATGACAACACATGAAAAGGCCAAGCTAAGACCCAGGGTCTTACTTTAGAGCCCACACCCATGACCTCTGAGAGATACTGAGCATGGGAATGTGGACCGAGATTGCTAAGGAAGACTTTTGTTTCTTTAGGCCTAAAGATGGGATGAAAACATCATGGTCACTGAAGCATCCCCATAAAGGTATGGGGCAGCGATGTGCCAAGGTTACTCTCTTGAGTTCTGGAGCCAGAAAGCTAAGTTGAAACTTCAGCTTGATCATTGATCATGTGTCTGCCATAGACTACTACTGGTTTTCAGGTTGTCTACGATCTCTGGGCTTTGATTTTCTTATCTCTAGGAGTGAGTAGATACTTCCTAGAATCCTTGTAAGTTCAAGATGATAAAGTGTGTATGAAATGCTCAGTTTGTGACCTACAATAGGAACTCAATACATATTACCAAGTAGTATTCTTTTTGATGGTCTTGGAGAACGGTGCTATAGTTTCCACTTCTGCTATAATTTTAAATCTTTCAAGTTTTGAGTTTTCATTCTGCCACCTCCA